GTACTACACTAAAACTTCGCTAGAATCATATATAAACATTTAGTTGTAACAACATTGTCTGTTCAATAAAAAGTAATTGGGTGAATTAAAGTTGGACAAAGAGAAAATTCTGAGCGGTGTACTAGAGGATAAAACATGACGTGAGGAAAGGGTTGTCGTTTCACTTAAGGTGTCCACGGAGAAATTTTTCTAATAAAACCGCGGTTATCTCACCGAGGTACCGCCAAACCGCGATTTCCTGGATCCAAACTGCAGTTTAGAAAACCTATGAAAACTACGATTTTGAGAAGCCGCGTTTTGATCGAAACGAGTTGCGATGATGGTACCGACGAAAACCGCGGTTTCAAAGGGGTGCGATTTAGTGAGAATGAACCGCGGTATCTGAAACCATACTTTTTACGATTTTATATACCGCCGTAAACTCGATCTAAACCGCGGTTTGTGGATACCACTCAGCGTAGCAGTTTCTTAAACCAAGATGTTTACTATTTAAACTTCGATTTATCTTCATCAAGGTCTTTAATGATTTCCAGACCGTGGTTTCCATCAATAAAACGGCTGTTCGATGATGCTACGTTTTCCACCTGACTGGACAGTGCGGTTTGTATCAGCAAACCGCGATACCAGAGACCGCATTCTTATCTGTTTTTTAAAAGTGTGATTTATGCTGACGGTTTTGTCCATAAGCAAATGCGATATAAAAACGCTTTCGTAGAAAATTTCTAGTTTTTGAAACTTTTTCTGCCTCATTTTTGCTCTGTTTTGCTCAAAGGTCTATTGATTCTCTGATTTTGAACTTCGTTTTCTGAGGTATTTCTGGTTTTCTTGCTTTGGATCTGGTATCCCTGGTCAACTCCCACATCTATTTCTTACTTAAAACACTTACGTCGGTAAGATATAATAACAACTATCGACTTATCACTCGATTTAAGTATTGCTAGTAACACACACATCTAGTTAAAAGTCCATTTTTTAACTAGTAATCTAGATGGCAACTAGTCGTGTATCGCCCAACTACAGACGAAATGTATCTAGATTTTTCCCATAAGTGATGTTTGCTTGAGACTAACCAATGAAACTAGAGCCGGTCCTATTGCCAAAGTGTTATCCTTTCACTCATTCATATTCCCACACTAGTCCGAGCAATCACTACAACTAGTTCTTGACAAAACTGAAGTATTATATCCGTGCAGAGAAAATTAAAAACTCTCTTTCGTTAGGGTACTTTTAATATTTTGTTGAGAAAATTCCGCCCAAAATAAACTAGTTGAAAAGCTTTCCTTCTATTTGTACTCAGAAAAAACGAGGCTTTTCTCACGAATCTGTTTAAACCTTCCAAATCTTCGAATCCGTTTAAACCTTCCAAATCTTCGAATCCGTTTACACCTTCCAAATCTTCGAATCCGTTTAAACCTTCCAAATCTTCGAATCCGTTTAAACCTTCCAAATCTTCGAATCCGTTTAAACCTTCCAAATCTTCGAATCCGTTTGACCTTGTTTGACGAACATATATACTTTCTATTCAAAAAAGGCTCTCTCTACTTGGTAAAGATGTAACTTACTTGAACATTGCAATCAGCATGTTCAACAACTGAACATTAGCAATTACAACGAACAAAATGGCAAATATAAAAACAAACGCACCATATGAGTCGTTGGCTATAAAAGAAATCCGCGCGATTTACAGATTACACATTTTTTTCTCTTTGTGGAACTTACGGCTGACGCTATTGTTAATTGGTTCATCGATTTGT